AAGGACGATGATAAGTGGAGCGATAAATTACCTCTCGTACTTCTTGGAATACGTTCGACAATAAAACAAGATATCAAATGTTGTCCAGCAGAATTAGTTTATGGAACTACTTTACGACTACCTGGAGAATATTTCAACCCAGCCACTGAAGTTCCAACTGACGAAACTACTTTTGTACAACAACTGAGACAGCATATGAGTCTTTTAAGATATCACCCACCGCGACATCAGCTCAACCAAGCATACATGCCTGAAAAACTAGAAAATTGCACGCATGTTTTCATACGACACGACGGTGTAAGGAAACCACTTCAACCACCTTATGACGGACCATTCAAAGTAATAAGGAGAACAAGCAAAATCATCACTGTCGAACGCGGAGGAAAACACGAGATTGTAAGCATCGATCGCGTAAAACCAGCTTTCATGGAAATAGAGGTGACTGAATGTTTACCCAAATCAACATCATCTAAAGATTCAAAATCTGGTGATATTCCGTCTAACAAAACAGAAAGAATCACAAGATCAGGCAGACGAGTACATTGGCCACAAAGATTTGTACAGACAATTTATTTCTAATTCATTTCCATACTACCTTATTACGGTACTATTAACTGTATGTTAAGATATAAATCTATTCTGTAACTCTTTACAATTACAACCTCATTATTATTCTAATAATAATTTTTCTGCTTTTATTGTTACATTTTGCACAACTTACTAAATATTTCGGTTCGTTTCGAAGTTGTTAACATTTTTGCATATATACAGTTATATTATCAAACCTCAAAAACTTAAAATCCTCAATTCGGTTTTCATACCACAAACTCGAATATATTTCTTCTGTAATTGTAATTTACAATATCATTCCGAATACAGGTAAACTTCATTTACCTGCATTCTACGGAGGGGCTATTGTAGTGACCCGTTTTATTACTCATAATCGTACTATACTTTCATTGTGTAATTGTACTTTCATTTGTCTATTACTCTAAATCATGCATGTTAACAATTGATACTTTTTGTACTCGCTCGATTTTTGAATTTTGATTGCTGCAATAATACACTGTCGTATTCCTTCGCAAGTGCCTTTTTAATTACGTTGTGGATGTCGAGTAATCACAGCGTTAGGACACAAATATAAACGCGAAGAAGTACTAAGATATACGTGCATTCTAGTTCAGTCAAAATAGAGCAGCAACAAGCTCTAGAGCTTTAGACTGTCTCTTTATTTCGTCTGTCAGCCGGGAGTTGGCATGGATGCATATGTCTGATCCTTCAAGAGTTTGAGAGTTGATTAGTATAGCATCCCACTGCTTTTTGAGTTTGGTAGGTCTTTGAGAAGTTGAGTCAGCTGATTTATTTTAGAGTCAGCCTTTTGACCGATTCTATACAAGCTGCGCATAATTAACCTGATACTGCTGTTGGCAGTAACTTATCTGAGATTTGTTTAACTTGGCCGAGGTCACGTTTAAACTTGGTGTTAAGGTCCGAAAGCAATGATCCTTCGACTTTGTGGAGAATGAGCGACTTGTTTGAGTGATCAGGTTTGCCTGGGGTGCCTTTCTTGCGTTGCGGTGAAAGTGTCTTTCCGTCCTTCATGGACAGCGTGGCTTTTACAGTGTGGTTGTCCCGATTTTTGTGAGAAACTACAGAATTCAAATAAGACCCAAGGAAGAGTTAGTAGATAAGCAACGGTAAAAATCAATGCGTTTGATGAATTCGGATGGATAAGAACTATGATGTTATAAAACAACACACAACATGTGGGTAAATAAACTCAAAATTTATAGACAGAACCTAACTTGACCAGAATAAGTTGAATAAAATTAATCTACAGGCCTTTGTAGTGTATAACACACGAAAGTCAAATTCAGACAAGACAGTGCAAAACTAGCTCCCTCTTCAAAGTTCCCACCCACTCGCAGTCTCTTACTTGAGGTTTTCTAATTTTCTCCCAGTATTCGTTCCACAAGCTAGTGCTAACGAGACTGACTTCTTCGAACTCCCTTCTCGGTGGTGAGAATATGGTTTTAAGCCAACTATGGATTTCTCAGTTGCCTGCTCCACTGCCTATTCACTGCGGTTCTGGTAAATTGCAATGCTAGTTATTATCCCTGTTGTGGTAGGAGCTAGTCATTGCTCATGATTATGTAGTAGAAGAAAGTAAGGTAATAATAACAAATAAACAGGATTTGGGACAGGGAAAGTAAGCGAATGTATTGACAGAAGTGAATTACATCACAAAACGAAATATAGTGACACAGTACTGGTAACTGCGGCCAGTTATCACTACTGTGCAACTGTGTGCTATATAAAGTAAACTTATCTAGTATGGATTTGGTTTTTGATTCGCATCTTCCACTGGCACCTGCGAGTTCGTACCTTTGTCGAAAGTTACCCATGAAAGGCTTGGATTAATGGTGAAGTGAATTGTTTACTCCCCATGAGTAACTAATTATGTAACGAAGTGTGAACAATCAAACCTGTGGATTGTGAAAAGACCATTCTGTACCGCTTAAGTAGACAGTTAAATAATTACATTCTTTCCTTTCAAAGCACTCAGTAAATCCCTTGTTTGGAACAAATCCTTTTCTGACTCTTCTGTGCAAGCTTTTCGAGAACGAACATTCTTTGCGGGAAATAAAATTTATACTTGTTGGCTCACATATTCATCATCTCTTCTCTCTGCAGCCGCCTGGTTGCCATAACATGATTGGTTGCATCTTCTCAGACTTGCATGAAACTCACATTTTCGTTCAAACTAGACTCAATAACCGATTTTGGCGAAACTGTTGTGAGGGAGCATTTTTGCAAGCTATCCGGTGCAGATCCTTAGATAATACTGTTAGATTTGTGAATTATGGATCAAATCTTATTCCTGATTAACACCGCCCAGCGGAGCACGAAAAACTTGTTCTGACAGCACACTTAAACGTGAAATGAAGACTCTGAAAGATATTTTATCCGCGAATCGATATACTTAGAGGTACTTCAATAATTACTCTAAAGGAATAAGCCTCAGTAAAACTATCCAAACAGTTTCAAAGAAATATGTATATATCAGTTTATCGTTCTAAGGAGATGGCTTACAAGAAGTAGTCAGACGAAGACTCTATCAAGAGGACTTATTATGCTGCAAAACCCGTCTGCCTTAACATCACCAAGCGGTTGATTCAAAAACCTAGGAAAGACCAGTCTCCAGTCATCGACACTTCAAACTGAAACCCGCGTATATCAGTGTGAGCGTGTTTGCGGAAACAAATACATAGGTCGTACAGAAAGGCGATTGTGTACTCACATGATGGAGCAGTGGCAAAGATGGTTGGAAACTGCTGAAGTCAAAGTTCAATGAAAAGCGTCTCGTGGACTACAGACATAATATTGACAAAACGGCCAATTCATTCACTGTTGTCGGTAGACACTCCACCAAAAACAGGAAGATGCTTGGTAATTACGGAGTGGGCTTCTTGTAAGTAGAGTTTATAATCCAGATCTGCGTGTACAAAGGTAATGGGGGTCACTCTGAATCTACCATAGTAATATGGTCTGCTTATCAAATATCATTATTGACACTTCATTAATATTCGTGATTCATTTAAAACTATCTTTTATCGGTATCAGTATTTTAACCCGTTTAACATTATTGTTAATGTTAATATTACTCAATTCACAATACTTGATATATTTAAGCTCTTCCTCTGATGAGCTTTGTTTATTTAAGTGATGTAATTGAACCGCCTTCATTTTATATCCCCGTATGTGAGGTATCCTGCTGAAAAGTTTCAACCGAAATTTGGTGAATTTGTTAGATCTTGCCTTATTGGCTTTTGTCGCTTTCTTTAAAATCGTATCGGGGAATAAATTTTCCTACTTGGGGAATTTCTTTTGCGAACCCCAGGTTCGTGAAAGAGAAGACACAAACCATCCACAGAATCCAGGTTTTCTGGAATCCTTCGACCTGTGCGACCAGTCGCAGAGAACATTTCTTCCCTTATGGGAGTTTCCGACTGTAGTTTCACGAAGTCCTACTACGGAAAGTCTCAAAAATGCGACTCGATAAGTTAGTCCTATGCTGAAAAGACGCATGTTTTAAGGTTAGAGAGTTTGTACAGAGGCTGCACGAGTATACTGGAGATAGACAAAGACATGTCGGGATGTTGCAAGGGGCATTTCTAATTCCAGTGTCATTGTCGACCTTAATAAACGATATCCCGAATAGATCAAGATCTTAAACGCTTCCTTACGCAGACTGTGTTAAGTTGTGGAGGGCTGTGGAAAGTGAGGAATAATATATCAAGCCACCACAATACATGATCTTGTTATGCAGGAAATGAGTAGCTCTTACACTCACACATTTTATGCTCTACGAATCATATGCACTGCTACATATGCACAGTCATAGTGTCAATGAGATACCACTTTTGGAATGAATTGTCGTTGTTTTAGAAATGGTATGAGGACCGAATGAACAGAAAATGAGAAAACTATCTTATGCCGCATGACCTGTGTGTCGAGCTGGGCCATCAATTATGAATATTGGGAAATTTTTTAGAAGGAATCAATCAAACAATGATCTCACACCGTTCTTTTGAACGACTGAGACTACAGGGGGGCATTTCGCTTTGCCAGTGTGGGACAGGAAGTCTACGCAGCATTCTGGACGAGTCTGGTATAACAAGGTGACTGCCTAGAAGGCAGAGAATAGATTGTACAGAAACCTACCAAAAGTCTAGAATCCTCTTAAAACAGCAAAGGACGTGAGACAAGATACTGTAAATTCTATGTTAACACACTGAAGGGACTACACGTGTGGGACATTGAGACTGATATGAAGTTTTCTTCAGTGCGTAAAAATTCAAAATGTGGGACGGCTAAGACTCGGAAATCAGCTTCATTCTTGAAAGAGACGACAGCGAACACTAAGCAAACAACCGATGCGAACACACTGAAGAGCAAGAGGAAGAACACGAAATTCGAAAGTGAGGCGTAATGTATTCCTGTGATGGCAAGAGGTACAGATTTTAGGCGGGTAGATTGAAAGTGAGGTTTGCACCGTTTAATTCCTAATCCACTGCACTGGCACGGAACATATCTACAATACAAGGGAAAGAATCCAGTTGCATTTCAATTATAAAGTATAAGTGTGAGTTTCACAAGTGTTTCGATGTCTTTGTATGCTTACTTTTTAGTAATTTCTCGTGGGAACACACAGTATATAGTATAATTTTAGTGTCTTGGGCTCTTCAGTCTCGCTATTTTTAAATTATTTATTGGCAGTTATTTGATAAGAATTAAGTTATGAAGAAGGATAAAGAGAGAACACATATAGTGACATGTACTCTCGAATGCGAGTGGAATAGGAACAGTGTAAATGGTGTTGAATTGCACATTATATGTGCAGCAGATTCGACTGCGGAATACATAGTAATTATCTGGGAACTTACATAGTTTTGAGAAAATGTTTGTATAAATCGATACCCCTCGGTAACGAGAAGCACTACGTGGTGCTATATTTTCTTCACTTTCAGTTGCTTTGAGGCATTAGCATTTAATTTTAACTGAAAAATGGTATTTACCTCGAGTAGGTTATTCTTAAAACCAGAATAATTGCAATGTGGCTCAAGAGAGCATATGAACAAGGTGGTATAATGGGCAATTATGATTGAATGAGACGTGGGAAAATATGGGAAATTGTAACACGAAATAACTCACTTTCCTTATGTTCCTCCACGCTTTCACCCGCTTTTCGGCATGAAATCAACAAATTAGTAATCATACTTTTTACACACCCCACTTTTTACATACTTTTCCCCAAGTTCCTGGTGTCATTTGTAGAAATTCCCTACTATTTGAATGGAATGCATTCCATGTTTCGCCCTACTTTAACCGTGTTCATGAAGAAGTTCTCCGGCTAAACTGTAGTCCTTTGTTTGCACAAATTATGATTGTGTCCTTGCTAAGTAGCTTCAAGTGTGTGAATGAAGTAACATCCTTTATGTTTGAACTACCACTGCTAGGGTCATAGTGAATATGGTCTCAAGTTCAGTATCATGAGTCCTAACTTTTAAAATTTTACATTGTGTATGTATTTTTAAATACGTAATGACTAAGCACAGCTGTCTTGTGCGTAAACGCAGTTTGAGTCAAAGTAACTTTCATTTTTATCCAGTAGTCTTCTGATGCTGTCATTTATTCCTTACATCCCAGTAAAATACCTCAGCATTGTATATGGACGTGTGTGGCATTGAATTTCAATGTATTCATTCGACCTTCTGAAGCTTTGTTGAAAAGTTTCCCTGGTAGGCACATCTTGTTTGAGTAGATTATAAGGGAACAAAAGCTATAAAATTGCTTAGAACTTATATGTTAGTTTGTTATTTGTTTTCATCTTCACTTAGTGTAGGTTTCTAAAAGTGCTGAAATGAAATTTAATCACTGGTATACTGCGGAGTCTTTAACGCTTGTTTTTACGGTTCTGAGTTTAGAAATATGTAAAGGCGCACTTTAGTGTGGTGTACGTCGGGTGTCCACACAAAAATAACTTGGAGGATCTAGACTTCGCCGATGATATATGTCTGATTTCCCACAAGCTGGAAGATATGCAAGTGAAAAGCAACAAGTTGGCAGAAGAAGCATCAAAGATAGGACTTCAGGCGAACACAGCGAAAACAGAGATAATGAGGATTCCTGACCAATAGCGACAACGACAACAACATACAACAATCATCATAAATGGAAGGAACCTGAAAGGAACAACCTCTTTTACCTACCTAGGAAGCATCGTTTCAATTACAGGCGAACTGACGAGGATATCAAAGCTAGGATTGGCAAAACAAGGCAAGCTTTTATTTCTCTCAAGTCTGTATGGAGGTCAACAGCACTCAGCATAAAAAACAAGATCCCGATTTTCAACTCCAGTGTGGTCAGTGCTACTTACTATACGGATCAGAGACCTACTACTGCACTTCAAACAAACTACAGACTTTCATCAACAGCTGTCTTCGCTCAATGCTACTCAAGATCAGATGGCTGGCCAGAAAAGATCAGCAACAGAGATCTCTGGCAATAAACGAACCAACCCAGCAGGAACCAACTGTGCAACCAATATGTAGGAAGGAATGGAAGTGGATTGGCCATACTCTAAGAAAACAAACCATCAAGTGACATCACACGCCAGGCCATGGCTCGACTGGCACCTGAATGGGAAGCGGTGAGTTGGTTGTTGGTGCAAGGGTGACATGGAGGAGTTCATGTGAAGGGGAGATAAAAGCATGTGGGCAGACGTGGAGCCAGGTGGAAATGTTGGCAGAGAACCGAACGCAATGGAGACGTGTGGCTGAAGCCCTATGTTCCTCTAGGAATTAAAGGAAACAATAATAATAATACGTCGGGTACCCTTGTCGCCGTGAGCTCTTTAGAAATATTAATAATTATAATGGTAATGAATTAAGATACCTAAGACGTTTTCCAGTGGTTTTTTGTGATTTCTATATAAGAAGACTTCAGCTTCTAAGCCGATAGTTGTACAGTGTCTAGTCAACTAATATTGCTAATACTTCATGTACAAATTTCAAACGGTTAATCAGAACTTTTGTTGTTCTTTTTGCAGATAGTCTGATCGACATTCTCGATTCTAATGCATCCTGGAATTTGTGTTGTTTGATTTAACGTTCTGATCAATGGCAACTTATTTGGATTTAGATAAGTGCAAACTATTGTGTTCTTGTAAGAGAACGAGTCCATTATGCACGTTATATTTCTGCCGACATTGTTTAACTCTTCGATGTCCTGATTGTGTTTCACATGAGGTGGGTTTTTCCTTAAGTATTTTTATAGTTTAATTCATGTATTCGATACCTCGTGGCAGTACTGAGAGAAATCAAAGACAGTTCAGTGAAGGAAATTTTCTTTATCGTATCTATACTTGCCAAAAAATGCTTAGTAGTCTATTGTTGAGTGATGAGTGTGTGTGTGTGTGTGGTATAATCCATACAATCACTCAAGTAGTTTCTAGAGAAAAAGGGCTGCCCAATATTCAATGACACAACAGAGGTAAGGGCTTGGAATTTCATAAGATGGGAGTACATTATTCTTACTGCATGTAGGCTGCCCAAATCACATCTAATCAGTTGGCGATCAGTGTCTGTAAGTATGGTATGTGCTTTGCATTGTCTAAGTGCAAAGTACTGTTACAAGATTGGCAAGAGCCTTCACCTACACTCACTCTGGCAGATGAAGTTGTTCATAAATTTGTGTATCTGGGTAGTTGTGTGAGTGCTGGCGGACGGATGAGATTTCCAACCGTATAATGAAGGTTAGGGTGGCATACATCAACTTGAGCCACCTCTGGCGCCGTCGCGACGTTAGCCTGGCTGTCAAAGGTTGGGTATACAATGCTTTGGTGCGGGCTGTCTTGCTCTACGCCTGTGAAACCTGGCCTCTCCGAGCTGAGGATGTGCGGCGGCTCTGCGTATTCGATCATCGTTGTCTCCGCAGGATTGCTTGCGTTCGATGGCATCATCGCGTGAGTAGTTCTGAGGTTCGGTGGCGTGTGTTTGAACACAGTGGAGATCACCATTCACTGAGTGTCGTCATCTGGAAACAGCGGCTCTGGTGGCTTGGACATGTGCTGCGAATGTCATCCCAGAGGCTTCCGTACAGGTCTTTGTTCGCTAGTCAGCCCTGGGATGGGATGGAAAAGGCGGAGAGGTGGTCACCCCATGATGTGGCGTCGTGGGATGAAGGATGTTTGTGTTAGGTTAGCATCGGTTGGTACGTCACAACTCCCTGGTTGGAGTCCGAGAGACAGCTCGAATCGATGGCTCGAAACGTTATCGGACATGGCCAAGAATCGTAATCAGTGGCGAACGTGCTGCGATTTCCTTCTTTCTCTCCCCCTCCCGATGGTGGTTGACGAATACTGTTTGAACTTGTTAAGCATGACTGCTTTCCTTGCAGATGAAGTTCTTTATCCGTTCTCCACCCATATTTTTACTTTTAATCTATGTTGTTTTATTATTATTGTTTGGCACATTTTCTTGGTGCCATATTGCACCAAGTTTTTCTGTGTTTAAATAAATAAATAAATGAATAAAGGTAGTTGAGTGTCCACGTCATACTGAATCCTATCGGTTTGTAACTGTGGTCATCTGTGTTTATCTTTATCCTTAAGCAAAGTTTCACATGTTACAGGTTATGTTAACTAGATTGCAGTCTGTTTTTCACCTCATAGTGGTGTAAAGTATTGGTAGTGCTGTTGATAAGCTACACTTCACCAGCCGTCATTAAACGTAATTCACCTAGTTCTGCAGTAATTCAGTACTCTACTTAACTTGTAAGTACTGACGAAAAACACAAGTTAAAAAAGACTTAGTTAATTAGAAATGTGCTCTGGTTACCAGTATATTTGAGTAAAAATGAAAGGTCAAGATTACCCAGGGAAAAAGATTTATAACTTATCTAACAAATATGGCTGTATTATAAACTCAAAGAATGTGCGTGCTGACAGCACATAGGGAAAAACGCAAACTGGTGTTGAAGCCAGTCCGCAAGTGTGTACACATTGAAGCTAGGTCTTAAAACACTCTAAATTGCACTACAATACTCAACTTTTAATTATTGGATCAGTCCGTACTGGACCTTTCGTCTAAATTATTATTATTGTATATAATACTTTGATCAAAAATAGCTATCCCGATAAAATTGTCAAGAAACACATGACAAAGAAGGCGGAAGACGATTACTCACTATCCGTAAACAAGAAGCCTCTTTATATACGCCTGCAGTTCAAGGGCGATATACCAAGTGAAATAATTACTACGAAGTTAAGAAAATCAGTTCAAAGAACTAATAATGCTGGCGAACTACACCTCTTATTCTCTACACGACCGATGGTGATTCCTCGACTGAAAAGTGAAGTACCTAGATTAGCCAGCCACTTCAAATTGTATCTACCAATTCAACTGCACTTGTGGAGCGAATTATGTCGGCCGTTGCCGTAGGAACTTGATTTTTTGTGCTCGAGTACATCTCCCACAATGGCTAAGTAAAGGTGTAGTTAAAACTATTAACAGCTCGATATTAGACCATCTGGTGCAAACAGGTCACCAAGCCAGCATAGAAGAATCCTTCTCGATAATATACAGGGTGCCTAACAAATTACCGAAATCGTCGAAGCACCGCATGCTCCAAACAGCAGAGGCTATTGCAATTCACCTCAAACAACCAGTGCTCTTTGTGCAAAAAGAACAAGTCCAGCTAGCCCCTACTACTGCCCTGGCTGGTCTTTAGTAGAGACTATAAATTCATGAATTTGTAATATTATCTTTCCTGATTTTTCTGACATTCAATTTACTGTTATGTTGATGCTGTTGAACTGTAATCTATTGATATTATTGATTCGATGTTGTTTACACCTTTATGTTGTTCATAACACAGTCATTCACTATTATGGATGGATACATAACTGTAGAACCTGATGAAGAGCAGGTTATCGAAAAGAGTTTTCTTTGTTCAGTATCCATTTTTTTTGTAAATTTTAATGGGCACTTTTAATCAGTTATTATTTTATTGTTTTCTTTATATATTCTCTATTTGTACTACAGGTGGATTCTTACTACTGTCCAAATTGTCTTGAAAATATGGCAAGTGCTGAGGCGAAAATGCGAAAGCATCGGTGTGGTAATTGTTTTGATTGTCCTAGCTGTGGGCATACATTGTGTACACGGGCTACTGCGGTTGTTCAAGCTAAACCAGATGAACCGGGTAGAACTACAGCACAAAAGGCCTACTTCTTGGCATGTGGTTTTTGTCGTTGGATTACTAGAGATAGTGGTATTCCAGATCAACAACAGGCTGCTGGTGGATGGCAAGAAAAAACAAGTCCACATTTTAAGCGGGTGAGTTTAACTCTTTAACGTGTTAGCTTTGACTTTTAATCTGTTCATAGTTAAACTACACTCAATGGAATATATGTGTCTGTCTGTGAGTTAGATGTAGGACTTGCTTACAAACATTGCATTTAAACTAGTCAAGTCAGCGAGATTGTGATTGCTCATTTCTCATTGGTCTTTATCTGCGCGGAAATGTACCACGTCTGGTTGCTTGATGTCCGCTAGGTGAAGCCAACTTTGAGCCTCTGACCAGCCACAACTATTCAGTCAAATTCTAGGGTTGTTTTGGTGATAAAGCAATGTATTGGGGGTATACAAAATTTTGATTTAATAACAGTTTTATAGTATTAGCTATGCAGTATACCAAGCTTTCGATTATTTTAATCAAATAGCATTAATTATAATAAAGGTTTTTGTATTTCCCAATAAGTGAAAACCAAAACAATATTGTTTTTACTGACGTTTCGCTATTTAATGCTGCTAATAGCTTTATCAAAGTATTATTAAACCGGAATTTACAAAATTTCAGCATATATATAACAAAGAGTTAATAGGTGGCCGAAAATGCATTCCGAAAACATGGACTTCAACAGTCGTCATTCCATATAGAGCAGAGACATCAGACGATATCAGAAGAGTACTCCGTAAGCATGACATCAGAGTTTTCTTCAAAACATCAGACACACTGCAAAGCAACCTTGTCTATACAAAAGACCAAATTCCTAAAGATTCTCTCTCTAATTGTGTCTATAAAATAAAATGGTTGGAATGTGATGCGACATACATCGGAAAGTCATCGCGAGAAATGAAGGTAGTCAGAAGAAATGAACACCGTAGAGCCGCCTCTGTTCGACCGCCGAGAAATGCAGTTAGTGAACTGGAAAAGCTTGAAAAGTCATCAGCCATAGCTCGTCTACACGCTATAGAATCAGGCCACAAAATTGATTTTGACCATATTGAAATAATTCAGAAAAATTTCAGAAATCACAAAGAACGTCTCACATCATCAGAAGCATTTCATATCAAATGGAATCCAAATTTTCTAAAGAATAGGAATGATGGACTAAAACAGAATTTCACCTGGTTACAACACCCCTTTCCCCATGAAATGACAAAATCAACATGTAGATTGAAAATCCCCATTGAGTCATATGAAAAAAATCAACATGAATGTTATAAGCACTTTTTATGTAAACACACGCTGCTTTTATAATTTTATACACTTATCAAATCCAAAAATCTACACCTGGTTTTGTTACCTTTGCCAATTGACCGATTTGACAACGAAAAATGACCCCAGACAGACGAACGATAATCAAGTTAGTAAACTTTCTGTAGTTTGGTTTGAAAGGGTTAGTTATATTTTTTTATGAGTTGATCACGGACTGATATCAGTTGGAGAACCATTGAAAACCAGGGAGTACTGGACAGCTGCTGTTTCATCCTAGTTTGGGAATCATTGGCAGTACGCACCCACCACCATGATTCGAACCCAGGACCATCCGGTTACAAGGCAAGGTCGTATACCATTCAGCCACTCGGACCCTTACAAACCAAACTATAGAGAATTAATCTGATGCTCGCTAGTGACTTGTTACAGTATGGAGTTTCTTGGAGTTCTAGTGAGAAGTCGTGACCAGTAAGGTCCAATTAGATGTCACGTGTGTGGATGGATTTCTCACCAACGACAATGGTTGATTAGTAAACTTTGTTTTGATATCATAACAGATGTACTATTACCTTTGCCATTTGATTTAGTGATCTTCATTGTTATTTTGACTTTCAATATGTCTCTTTAACTTTACCTAAGTCTGTTTGGGGATTTTCAATCTACTCAAACGTTGCAAGGACCCAGTGACGGTGAAGGAGCTGGATGGTTTCCTGCGTTACTCCGTCAAGCTTGCGGTAGCGAAGACAAAGATTGATTTCTTAAGAGATTGTATAGATCGACATGAGTATCCAAAGATGTATTGGAAGTCACTGAGACGCAACCACATCCAACCGAATACCAGAACACTCAGACGACACACACGAAACAACATCGACTCCATTCAATCACGCGTCCCTGAGCTAGAGCGAAACGTCTATTCAAGAGCTCATGCAGTCGAAGACTTAGATCAAGAACTACGCCATTCCTTCGAAGAATATGTACAACAAGTCACTCAGAAAGAATGTAACAAGACTAAAGCAGATCTTCTCAAAAGCCTAAAGCCTACAATTAATACCGAATCTCCGTTCCCAAGCAATCCAGAAAAGTACGTATTCAATCTTTCAGACATCACACTGTCTACTACTCAACTAGAGGCACTATCTCTAGGTCCAAAATTCTGCGTAAAACCACCAAGTATTGACAAGCTACAATGCCAGGTTCAGTTCGAAAATCTAATAAACCAAACTTACGATCTCACACCTACATCAGACGAAAACCTACAACAATTCAAAGCATCAATCCTCGACTGTTGTCACAAGTTTATAAATACCAAACACAACGGAAGGTCCATCTTGACGAAAAGGCACCATAAGGAGCTGAAAGAACTTATGAAAAACGAAGAGATTATGATATTACGTCCTGATAAAGGCGGAGGAATCGTAATCATGAATCGCAAGGACTATATCAGTAAAATGCTGACTATACTATCCGATGAATGCAAATTCACAAAACCGATCAATGAGAAAAACATGACTGAACAAACCGAACAAAAGCTAACGGACACCCTTCGTAAGTTGAAGACTGAATCCTTCATCAGCAACGAAATGTTTGAATCCCTTAGACCGTCTGGCTCAAATATACCACGACTTTACGGACTCCCGAAAGTACACAAGAAGGATATCCCTCTTCGACCGATCCTCGACATGACCAATTCACCCTATCACCGCACAGCTCAATGGTTAGCAGATCTACTTGAACCAATCAGAAAACAAGTTTCCTGCCACACAGTTCGAGATTCATTCGACTTTATTGACTCAATCGAAAACATTAACGTATCCAACAAGACAATGATTTCATTAGATGTCACATCACTATTCACAAACGTTCCACTGACTGAAACAATATGCTATATATGCGAACTTATTCACTCCAAAGGAATAAACATCGGTATACCCACCGAGCATCTTAAAGAACTCCTACTGAGGTGTACCCTGAATGTTCAATTCTCTTTCAACAACGAAATATATCGCCAAAAGGATGGTATAGCTATGGGCTCACCACTAGGCCCTTTGCTTGCAGATTTCTTCATGGCAAAACTGGAAAACACATGCCTGAAGAAAATGATCAACACCTTCGAAATCTATAAAAGATACGTCGACGACACCTTCATTATCGTCAACAACGAAGAAAATCTAGACGACATCTTAAAGTCGTTTAACAACTGCCACCCTGCAATTCAGTTCACGATGGAGAAAGAGTCCAACTCCACAATATCTTTTCTTGACGTCCAACTAACCAGAAGAGAACAGGATGGAACACTGAGAAGATCTATCCACAGAAAATCGACGTGGAACGGACAGCTTACTAACTTTCACAGTTGGGTACCACTATACACCAAACGAAACCTGATCCGTTCACTCAGCTACAGAGTTCGCAGAATCTGCACCCCGGACACCATAGAAGATGAACTGGACAACCTCAAGAGAATCCTCGTCGAGAACTGCTATCCAGAAAGATTTATTGTGAAATCTATGAATCCTAGACCAGAAAAGCAGCCCATACTTAGCGTCAAGAAAAAACTACTCTACATGAACCTCCAATTCAATGGAGATCTATCTGCGGAAACACTGAAAAATCGACTGTCGCGTTCACTTAAGAAGACTTTCTTCGCAGCTGAACTACGACTAACCTTCTCCACAAAACCTATGATTCATGTGAACGTGAAGGATAAGCTACCGCTGCTGGCCTCATCAATGTGCATTTATCAATTCACCTGCTCGTGTGGAGCCAGGTATGTTGGCCGTACCCAGCGCTCGCTTTCCAAACGTATCACCGAGCACTTACCAGCATGGTTTTATAAAGGAGAAAATCGATGCCCCCGCAGTTCCATCTTAGAACATCTGATCGAATCCGGACACCAAGCTACACCGCAAACAAACTTCAAAGTCGTCTACAGAGTAAGAAGTAGTCTCCCCAAAGGTGTACGAATCAGACTTCTTCAAACTGCAGAAGCAATGGCGATCCACTTGCTAAGTCCTGAACTCTGCATACAGAAGAAGTTCGTTCAATCACTACACTTGCAATGGACGTAATCTATCTGATTAGCCGACATGTAAATTCTACCTAATCTTTTCTTCTGTCTCGTCATTAGTATTATTTTGCTTTCTCAATTGTAACATTTTACAATTTCAACTTTCTTGTTCTCTACCCCCACCCGATTCAATCTCTACACCCCACTACCACTGTTACTGACCTGAACAACGCTCAGTTTCTAGTCATTCATGTTACGTCATCCAACTTATTCACTCAATTTCACTTCTACTTAATCTCTACCTGTAATTACCTCTGTTGCTATCCTGACCTAAGTTGTAACATTTTAGCCAATTATATTACGTCATCTAGTTGTTTTTTTTTTTAACTCAGTCTTACTTTAGTTGCTGTCTGATTAACTTTGTCTCTATACTACATCATTCTTGTATTAACTAATCAATTATCTAAACTTGACAAACCTCATGTACACACACACACACACAAATATTTATATATAAATGCGATTGTACAGCTATGTGAATGAATTCGCCGAAAAGAGTCTCTTCGCTGAATGTCTTCTCTTTTTCATATGACTCAATGGGGATTTTCAATCTACTCAAACGTTGCAAGGACCCAGTGACGGTGAAGGAGCTGGATGGTTTCCTGCGTTACTCCGTCAAGCTTGCGGTAGCGAAGACAAAGATTGATTTCTTAAGAGATTGTATAGATCGACATGAGTATCCAAAGATGTATTGGAAGTCACTGAGACGCAACCACATCCAACCGAATACCAGAACACTCAGACGACACACACGAAACAACATCG